ACAGTTTTGCCTTGTAAATAACTATGCAATGACCGTACGCAGCTGAATGAGAGGTCCCGAAATTTATGACGTCATTAAATATTGCTTTATCGACTTCTACTGCTATTACCACATATTCTGTTTCTATTGGCACTGCCACTAAAACGATTGCTTTTATTAATATTACTTCTACTAAAGCGTTTCTAGTAATATGACAGTTACCATTTCGTCTACTACTACTAGCACTATTACTGCGACAACTCCTACCAAGACTACTAATACTACCCCTGATAATACTACTATAAATACTCATTCTTATAATTCTGTTACCACTATTTATTGTAACACCACTTATGCTACCACGACTTCAACAACTGTGATTTCTTCAAACTCTACTAATATTGCTACGACTACAACTTTTTGTAAATTGATACTAATATTACTAATGCTATTACTGCTACTGCTATTATTATTACCAATATTCATACTACTTCAGCTCTTCAAGCCCTTGCTATTTATTCTGCTACAACTGCTGCTGCTGCTAGATTTGTACTGAAACCGATGCTTATGCTGCTACTACTATTAACACTTATTCTACTTATGCCATCGATGTTGCTGCTGGTACTGCTACTAGTAATTATAATGCTACTTCTAAAACCACTACTACTACTTATACTAGTACTACTATTACCGCCACATCGATAACTGCCAGCAGTAAGACTGCTAATTATTCCACTATTATTTTTGCTAAAGCTATTCCAACTGCTTCTATAACGTCTACAAGTTTTACTTCTATTATTACTACTAATACTACTATAATTCTACTACTAATGATACTAATACCACCTGCATATCTTCTTCCATCACTACTACTTCGTCTAAAATTACTACTACTCCTACAAGTACCCCTTCTTCTTCTTCTTCTATTTCAAATGCTACCGATACTCCTTCAACTTTCAAAACTGCTACCTCTGATAATTCTACTAAAATTTCTCTTACCGCTGGCAGTTTTGCAACTACTTCTATTTATTCTAGTAAGGTGGCGATGAACGCTGCTTCTGCTCTTACATTAATAAGATTGAAAACGTCGCCAACAAGAGCATCTTTTTAATTTTCTGATACTTATACTACTCCTATTTCCAACGCGAATACTTCTACTATTACTGCTAATACTACTAATAATAATACTATAACTCTTACGACCACCACAACTACTACTACTACAAATTCTAAGACTACTAGTATTTAACCTAACAAAAGTACAAATACTACTACTTCCTCTGTCAATGCTATTAAATCAAATAGTACTCGTAAAACTACTACTTAAAATGCATCATCTCTTATTAGAGCTACTACTAGTACGATTTCTACTACCACTAACACTGCTACTAATACTACATCAACTGATTTAACTACTGCTACTATAACTAAATTTTCTATTCTATTTTAAGTACTACTACCACCAAAACTACAAGAAGTAATAATATTATTAATTGATCTAACAATAATTCTGCTAATAATAATGATACTCCTACAACTACTATTGCTACTACTACTACTACCTATTCTTTAAAATATAACTTTAAATACTATATATGCTTATATTGCTACGACTACTGCCACAACTACTACCTTATTCTTCTATTATTACTTTTCGTCTGGTATTAATTATAGTATTATTCATTTGCCCTTTTTACTACCGTTACTAAAACTAATAATATTACTAATACAGATGCTGTTAATGCCCCCACCATTTCTATAGCTGCTACGACTACTAATACTGCTTGGTCTGCTGGTGCTACTACTACAACCACCAACGCTTATATTACCACCATTATTAATTCTTGTATTACTATCACTATTGTCATTGCTACTATTTCTGTCACTATTAATATGGCTGGCGCTGTTGCTGATAGCAAAATTTTTACTTCTACTTCTAATATTGTCATTAATACTACTACTATTACCACTTATACTAATGCAACTAACACTACCACTGCTGCTGCTTCTTTTACCACTACTCATTCTACCTTATGTTTAATTACTACTAATACTTTCTCTACCACTGCTATTATATTTACTGCGGCTTCCACTACTAATATTACTGCTATTTCTTTTACCTCCACTACCAAATCTCTTACTGCTACTACAAATTATACTCTAACTTCTACTAATATTACTTCTAGCTTTAACGCTGCTATTGATTCTACTACCATTAATAATACTAATATCACTGCTAAAACAAATACTTTTTAATCTTCTACTATTGGTATTTCAAATATTATTACTGCTTTGACTACTTCTATTAATAATAAAACCGCTTCTGCTGCTATTACTACTATTGCCGCTACAACTTCAACCACTTCGATTAATTGTATTTCTACTACCGCTGCTGCTCCTAATATCGCTACTTCTGCAATTGATGTTACTTCCAAACTACTACTACTACTAACATTATTTATTTTACTACTTTTATTAATACTACCGCTGCTCCTGCAGCTGTTACTAATTATTATATTACTCATGCTTGCATTAATACTCAAATTACTACAGCTGCTATTTCTAATAAAGCTACTGTTCTACTAGTACTACTACTACTTCTAGTACTACTGCTGCTACTTATAACACTTATACTAATATAACAAATACTACAACCACTGCTGATTTTACTAATACTACTACTATCAAGTCTCCTAGTAAAGTTATAACTTTATAACTTTTACCATCTCGGCTAATACTATTATTACTATGCTACAACAACTACAACTATTACTTCTACAATTTTTCTTCTACTATTACACCTACTACTACTACTGCTACGAATACTAATCCTTATACTGCTGCAATTGTTAATAGCACTTGAATGTGCTGTTTTAGCACTGCTTATTATACTGCTACTACTACTACTACTACTACTACTACTAATGCTAATACTATTACTACTACTGCACCTACCAGTAACACTACTACTTCTATATCTACTGCTAACTATGCTTCAAATTTTACTTTTACTACCAACGCTGCTACGTCTAAAACTACTAATAATACAACTAATTCTACTACCACTGCTGCTTCTGTTAATTTTACTACTACTACTCCTACTACTACTTCTCCTAGTAATACTATTTCCGCTGCTACTTCTACCACAATAATATTAACAATTCTACTGCTAATATTCCTACCACTACTACTACTACAACTGCTAGTCCTACAACTATTTTTACCACTGAGACAAATACAGCTGCGCTGGAGCGGCCACCTGGTGCGCATGGACGACGAGCGACTTCCCAAACGACTCTTCTACGGAGACGTCGCGACCGGTTCTCGTCGTCAAGGAGGCCCAATTCGTCGATACAAGGATACCCTGAAGTCCTCCCTGAAGCTACTGCAAATCAACCCGACCAACTGGGAAGAGCTCGCCTGCGATTGTCCGGCATGAAGGAGAACAGTGAAGACGGGCGCTGCTATCCACGAATCCAACCGCATCGCCGTCGCCAAAGCGAAACGCGAAGCCCGCAAATCACAACTGCGCCCAGTCAGCAACGCTGCCGCACAACTGCTTCCAACGTGTCCTCGATGTAAGCGGACATTCCAGGCTCGAATCGGCCTTGTTGGACATCTTCGGATCAACTGTACCTCTCGAACTGCACCCAACTTCATTCCCCCGATTGCGTCATTTTCGTCCTGTCTGCCGCCGAATAACTCTGTGAATTCTTCTGCATCACCACTTTCATCCTCCTCCCCCTCCTCCTTCTCCTCTGCCTCCTCCTCCTCCTCCTCCTCCTCCTCATCATCATCATCATCATCATCCTCCTCCTCCTCCACCACCACCGCCACCACCACCACCACCACCACTGCCCCAACGGCGGCCGCTCAGGCAGCCGTCTTGCACATCTTTGACCGCGACACAACAACCGGCACCACCCCCGCCTCTCCTGACTCCAGCAATGAGAATCAGGACTACACCTGTCCTCACTGCGACCGCACCTTCACCTTACACATCGGCCTGGTCGGTCACTTGCGAATCCATCGCACAGAGAACGGCGAACCAGTGCCTGAAGCACCAACCTACACCCACCGCACTCGCCTCCACTGCCCACACTGCCCTCGCACCTTCACACATCGCATGGGTCTATTCGGCCACATACACATCCACGAGAGCGGAATCGACCACAATTCCGACACACCAACCACGTCCATCATGCCCAGCACCACCCTTGCACCGTCCATCTGCGCCTCCGTAGCTGATTCTGACACCGCCGACTTCACGTGCCCACACTGTCCACGCACACTCACCTCTGCATCGGCCTGGTCGGTCGTTTGCGAATCCATCGCACAGAGACTGGCGAACCAGTGCCTGAAGCACCAACCTACACCCACCAAGCTCGTCTCAACTGTCCACACTGTCCTCGCACTTTCAGGCACCCACTGGGCCTATTCGGGACATGCGCATCCATGACGACCTGCGGTAGACAACCGCCGGTTACACCACACATCCACACACTCCCTACCCTCCTCCACAATCACCAACACACATCAACACTTAACCGCCGCATGCACCAACTGCCACCTTCCACGCAAGTGGGAAGTGTGCATCTCGTTTCGGTTCCCACGCGGCTTCGGCTGTACGGGTGATATGAGTCCGAGACTATCCCGACACTTCAAGTGTCGTGGATAGGAAGGTTGCTGCTTGATGCCCGCTCTCGGTTCACGCAGTTCGTCGCGTTGTGTGTGCGTGCTGTGTGGAGTGGCGGACTAGTGGGCTGGGAACGGGCTGAAGCAGCACCTTCCACGGCACTCTCACGCAAGTGAGAGACACGCCGTTCAACCCCCGTTGTGTGAAATCCTGGTGTTTGGGTGTGTATGGGGGGCCAGGTCGTCCTGTGGCGCGCGCAGTCACGGTCAGTCGACCGTGGCAGCCACCGCGCCCATCCACCACTCCAGTTTGCCGACCGGCTCGGACGGCGGCTGGAGTGTGGGAATGGGAAGGCAGAGTGAGGTCGACGACTCAGCGCACTTTTTCCTCACTATACTCAATCTGACGCGCTTGAAGCTATCACGGTACGCTAAAAGCCGTGGCTTGGAAGGTCACTTGGACCTCCTCCTTAACGGGAGGCGGTCTGAGAGTCAGGCTGCAATGGTTCCTTTTTAATGTGGCCTTTATGGCACTCCCACCACAGTGTGGGATCCGAGCCAGGCGTTGGCGGCACGCCTAGGTACGGCTTCGGCCGTGCCAGCCTCCAAATCTCCGTTGTGTTGGTTGAAATCCTGGTTATTGTTGCGTGGACCGGGGGGTGTGGTGGAACGCCAAGGTGAGGATCCGTCCGAGCCATTCACCTGCGGCCTCCCTCGTCTCCGGTCTTCTTGACTCTGTCTTGACACCGGGCTCGGGCGAGGGACGTGGAGAGAGTGTAGGTAGATGCAGCGCAAGTCTACTGGCACTAAAAACCCCTGCGCAAGTCACCGTCCCTGCTCCAACCTGCTGTGGGGCACACGGTGGACATCATCGAAATCGATGGTTGAACTGTCATCAATCATACCACTAATGCTACCGATGTTGTTTTTGCTACTTCTTATATTATAAACTTTACAATATCGGCTAATATAACTACTACTTACACTTCTACAATTACTACTACTAATATTATTAGTACCACAATGTCTGTGACCAACAGTTTAACTTCTTTTACTAGCACAACTTCTATCATTTCTTCTGCAAAAAATACTCCTAGTACTACTACTAATAATAATGCTTCTATTACAACTATCACTGATTTTTGGCCACTACTAACTATGCTGCTTGTCCACTACCATTTGTACTACTAATTCTACTACTACTACATCTACTTCTACCAATACAGAACAACGACTGTTATTAATACGTCTGATAATACACAAACTTATAATACTGATACTATCCTGGAGGCAATATTACTACCAAAAATACGTCTAATATTCCTACAGCTGCTGTTACTACTAACACTACTACTAATACTGCTACTGCTGATACTTCTACTACTGCTAATATTTCTTCTATACTACTAGAATACTACTAATACAAATCTGCTCCTGCAGAGGATAGCTGAACAAGCCCGCGAACAGAGAATGATACGCCACGCAGCACTGGAGAACAAATTCCGAAAGCTGTCCAATCCAACGTCGCCCAGAAACGACAAACTGGTGCACAACCTGTCGTCAAAGGAGCTGACGAAGGATCAGATGCAGGTTTTAAGGCACGAAGCTTCATTCGACACGACTGACACTAAACCTGTTAACATGATTGCAGCAGTGGAATCAATCCTTAGTCAGACGGAGGCAACGGAGGAGACCAAGAGCCTCATCCGACACCAAGTGTCGTCTCTCCTAATGGCCCACAGGCCGCGGGAAGTGCTTTCCAAGGTCGAACGTGATGCGCTTAGAGAACTCAAGGCCGACAAAGACTTGGTCATCGTGCCAGCGGACAAGGGGCGCTCCACGGTTGTGCTGGACAGGACAGACTACCTTAAAAAAGCCAAAGGTTTGCTGGAAGACCGACAGTTCTATGTCCCATGTGCAACGAACCCTGTAAAGCGCTGACACGCGAAATCAATGCTACGTTGTTGGCCTTGGAGAACTCAGGTGCAATAACACCGACCGACAGACGCATGGCGAGACCCCAAGATACGGCTTTGGCCCGATTCTATGGCCTCCCTAAGGTGCATAAAGACGGCGCTTCTCTCCGACCCATCGTGTCGCTCAAAGGTACTCCAACGTACGGACTGGCTAAGTGGCTGTTCCGGCGTCTCAAGTTCCTGACCGCTGAGTCAGACACCACGGTCTCTTCGTCAGCAGAATTCCTGGAGAAACTCAAAGGGGTAAGCCTCCATCCAAATAAGGTCATGGTATCTTTTGATGTTACATCCTTTTTTACTTCTATTCCCCAGGACCTGGCGATCGAGACAATCGAGCTGCTTCTGCAAAGCAAATACGATGAAACGGAAAATCGTCTTGGACGCGCCCAAGTCCTTCAGCTCCTGAAGTTCTGTCTCAGGACGTACTTCACGTTCGACGGGACAATCTACGAACAGGTGAAGGGCACACCAATGGGTTCGCCGATTTCGCGATTCATCGCCGAGGCGGCCCTGCAACGGTTAGAGTCGCTGGTCTTCCAACACCACAAACCGACGTTCTGGGCCCGGTATGTGGATGATACCTTCGTCGTTATCGATCGGGATCAACTGCTGACATTCAAGGAACGTCTGAATGCGGTCTTCCCGGACATACAATTTACAATGGAGGAGGAAGAGAACAAACAGCTGGCCTTCCTGGATGTCCTCGTATGCCGCAAGGATTGTGGTGGACTAAAGACCAAAGTGTTCAGGAAAGCGACAAATACGATGCAAGTACTGAACTGCAACAGTAACCACCCAATCAGCCACAAATGCAGTTGTGTAAGCACGCTCTTTCGGCGTGTCGAAACGCACTGCAGTGAGCCGGAAGACAAAATTACTGAACTACAATACCTCCGACGGGTATTCAAAGCCAATGGCTACCCGAGCAACTTTGTCAACCGGTGCATACGCAAAATGGACGAAAGGCCTAACCGCAGGGAAACCAAAGTTTGGCGAGCGCTTCCATATGTCAAGAACGTTTCGGAAGCTGTTGGCCGCCTTCACGCACCGCTGGGGGTTGGAGTTGCACACAGGCCAGAGGCAACCATCAGGCGTCAACTGATGAAACCAAAAGACCCACTGCCACGGCAAGAAACGTCTGGAGTCGTTTATCGGATCTGGTGCAGTTGCGGACAAAGCAACTACGTCGGAGAAACCGGAAGACAGCTCCGAACGCAAATGGCCGAACACGCTGCAGCAGTGCGGAGAAATGACGCCAGCTCTCAAGTTGCGGCTCATTCGACGGGTTCCGGCCACACATTCAAATTTGACGAGGCCGAAATTCTCGCAAGAGGTGACAACCGCGTGAGCCGGGAGCTGCTTGAGTCATGGTTCACTGGCCCCCAGTTTATTAACAAGTGCAATGGTCTTCCCATTCAATACAGCGTGCTGAGACTCCGTCTAGGCGGAGAAATTGGCCACTCGGGGAGCGCCCTGATGAACACTCTTCCCAACACCTGGGTCAGCGCGTCAGATGGTCGAGCAATCATCACACCAACATCCAACGCACGTGATGAAATTGCAGCAATTAACGACGCGAATATCGACCATCACGCCACGTGCAACGATCCCTGATGAAGGGGAGGGAGCCGTGAACATTCATAGGTAAGCGGTGGCATGGCTACGGCATCCTATAAATACTGCAGCCACATGTGCATGAACCACCCTTATCTGCTTATGTCTCTGATGATGGATTCGAGTAGGAATCCGAAACGTCAGGCTAACAAAGCTCTTGTCCCGGCGATCGTGTCTTCTTCTTCAAGACTATTACTTTTACTACTACTATCTCTGTTACTGTATATGCTAGTATATGCTAGTATTACTGTCGTTATTTCTCCTACGAAGACTTTTAATAGTTCTTCTGTTCATACGTATAATGCTACTGATATTACTTCAGCTACTGTTACTTCCACTATTACAACTACTAATATTACTATTACTTCCCCTGTTGCTACTTATAACGTTGATATTACTAATACTCCTTTAACTAACATTTGTGATGCAAAAACGTCTAAGACGAATACTAATACTACCACATCTGCTGCTACTACTACCTCTTCGACTGCCTCCACCACTACTGTTATATCTACTTCTGTTTCTATAGTAGCTATGCTACCTCATGAAATGTCATGAATTAACACAGGTAATCGACGTTAACGCAGAATCGGTAAACACGACGGCTCCCAATATGTGATAGCGGAAAATTAAAGATGTGTCAAATAAATAAAGCAAGGTTGGGTTTAGAAAATATTATTTACTGAGATAAAAATAAATAATTAACGACAGATATAACATTTTCAAGAAACGCCTATATTACATCCAATGTAATAAAGGCTACGTATGAGGGCGTATACAGGAGGAGGTCTCATAAAAGTAGTTGGTAGTTTGTATAAATAACGTCAGATATTCTGTCAGACATAGACATGACGAGGTTGTCTATGGTGGATTGCAAAATGTAATTATTGAGTATGAAATCCAATTTGTCCTGCATTGAAAGAGTCTTCTTAGCTTTGTGCCAATTTCTTTTGACTATTTCAAAAAGATTTCCCATAGGATTTCAATCAAGACTGTTGGCCGGGATGAAAATAGATTGGAGGCCAAGTGCGGAAGGGGTAGTTGTTTTCTTAAATGTAAGAGTAAATTTGCAAACGACATCAAATTCGTACCTCTTTAGAGCGGTGGACAGGTGCATTGTCGTGCAAAATTACAGTATTCATTCGGTGCCGACATATGCCGCTGTAGCCGAAACCATCCTTGACAATTGCAATAAACACATTACCGTTGATAGTGTCGGATGTTGACCGCCAGACAGGCCACTCACCGAATTTAATCGCCATCCAAACCATCATCCGACGACAGTTCTTGAATGTTGTCGTCGGTGTAGTGCGTTCTCTTGGGAAGTTCTTTCCACATATGACGGTTTCGAGCGATTTCGTAGGCTTTTCTAAAAATAAAACCTCATCGCAGAAGAAAATGCTCTACCAAAATGAAGACCTATAATCAATAAAATTCTTAGAAAATAAAAGCCGTTCTCTAATTAGTTTCCTAATGATATTCATGAAGAACATCGGCAGATGTTCCCGTTGAATGCTCTCAAATTTTTTTCATTTGCGACGAATAAAATCGTCGTTTTGATTACTTGTGGAACGTTTGGGTCCCCCTTTCTTATTTCTAATAACAGTTATATCAATTATAATGCGCCACAGAGTGACCTTAACTATATTAAAAATACCAGCTAACGAATCACGCGAGATCCCCTCCGCCGCTAATTTTCGAATACGCTGGAAGTCAACTTCGGATAAGTATTGTTTAGACATATATATCGTTTGGCGTGACAGAGAAAGGTGACGGCATGTCGCGCGACCTCTATACATATTCGTTAACGATAGACAGATTCGGTCTGGCAAAACAATCACACTGAAAAGGTTTTTTATTTTGCTATTTTAAAAACCTAAAACTTCACGGATTTTGTAAAATGGAATTTTTAAATGAGGAATCGCACCTTATTTCCTGAACACAATAAGATATAATTTATCTGCATTTCCCTGGTTATTACTATTATTGAAATTTGATTTTTTCTTTTGGTAAGAAAGCTTATTGAAAATTTTCTTCATTTAATTGATCTTCTTAAACAGAATAATAAGGTAAAACAAATAATTTTGATCCGAAACTTTGATAGCGTAGGAGACTACATGAATATCAGGAATCCTCCGATTTCGCCTAAATTCGGCCCGCTTTCTGTTTAGTATACAGATCTGTATCGAACTTTCCTTCAGCAAACGGCCTTTTTGTCCTTACTTTAACTAAATAAACACAAATAACAGCACCAAAAATACACTACAGATTCCACTCTAATATTGACCTCGGAATTTCATGAGCTAGCAGGCGCACTATACTACTTCCACTAATATTTCTACTTTTTCTACTAGTTTTACTACTTCTACTACGTATACTCCTGACGTTGACGGGCGGCGAAGATCATATTCGTGTTCCCACGATGACGAGGGAAGCCGCATTGGCTTTCAGGCAGAAGGATCTGTTCCAGATGATTATTCAGACGGTTGAGGAGGATTCGTGCGAAGATCTTCCCGGCGATGTTCAGCAAGGAGATGCCGCGGTGATTGTCGCAGACTTGGCGATTCCCTTTACGCTTGTAGAGATACACGATGATTGCGTCCTTGAAATCTTGCGGGGCTTCGCCTTGACGTCACATCTCCTGGAAGAACGCAGTCAGGTGATGTATGAGTTGGGGACCTCCGTGTTTGTAGATCTCAGCAGGGATGGCGTCTGATCAGGGTGCTTTCCCGCTGGAGAGCTGCTGTACGGCCCTAATGGTTTCCTGGAGAAATGGCGCGAGGTCGAGGTCCACGTTGGTCCCCACTTGCGGCAAACGCCCGATGGCGGCGTCGGAGATGGCGGAAGGGCGGTTGAGGACGCCTCGAAAATGCTCGGCCCATCGCTGTAGAATTTGTGTCTTCTCAGTCAGGAGAGTGCTACCGTCGGCGCTGAGGAGAGGAGCAGTGCCCTTCGTCGGCGGACCGTAGGCAGATTTGATCGCAGAGAAGAAGTTCTTCCATTCGCTACGGTCCGCGTAGCCTTGGATCTCCTCAGCTTTGCGAGCAGTCCAGGCGTCCTGAATCTCGCGCAGTCGTTGCTGAAGTTGGCGGCGACTGCCGTAGAAGGCAGCGTTGGTGGCATCAGTAAGGTGATCAACGTAGGCTTTGTGTAGGCGGTTCTTCTCAGATAGCAGATTTTTGATGGCGGAGTCGTTGTCGTCGAACCGGTTCTGATGTTGGCGACACAGGACGACGAGTGTCATCCACTGAACCGTGCTTCGCAGTTGGCACCAGCGGTTCTCCACGAAGGCGTTCTCGGCAGCGGTGCCATCGGCGATGGGGAGGTTGTCTAGCCGTTGAGCTAGCTCATTGCTGAAATGGAGATGATGAGCGGGCAAAGACAACAAAGCAACATTCAGCTTACCTGGGGGTCGCTTACCTTGTGGTCTCCTGCGGGGCTGTAGGCGAATACGCATCTTCGATATGACGAGGCGATGGTCGGTCCACCCGTCAGCACCCGCGATCGCCTTCGTCACCAGCACGTCCCGCTTATCTCGCCTCCGGACGAGGACATAGTCCAGCAGGTGCCACTGGCGCGACCGAGGATGCCTCCAGGTGGCCTTCTCTCGCTCCGGCAGACAGAATAACGTGTTCGTCAGGATGAGGCGGTGTTCTGCGCAGGTGCGGAGGAGAAGCAGGCCGTTATCGTTGGAGCCGCGGAGACCGTGAGGACCCAGCACTCCCCTCCAGACAGTATGGTCTGTGCCGACGCGGGCGTTGAAGTCACCAAGGACAATCAACTTGTCCGCCTTCGACACAGTCGCCAAGAGGGCGTGCAGGTCCTCGTAGAATTTGTCTCTTGCGGCGGCGTCGGGGCTGGTCATCGGCGGAGCGTAGGCGCTGATGATGGTGGCGAATTTGCCTCCTCGTCGGAGACGCAGGCAGAGACTCATCAGGCGGTTGTTGATGCTCTGCGGCAGACAGGGTATTCGTCCCACGATGTCGGTCCGGATGGCAAAGGCGACACCCGCGTCAAGTCGCTCTGCCCTGGGTCGACCACTCCAGAAGAAGGTGTAGCCGGCACCTATCTCCTCCAGTTGGGCTTGTTCAGAGAATCGGGTCTCGCTGAGTGCAGCAATGTCCACTTTGTAGCGCGCCAGTTCTCGTGCCACTAGCGCCGTCCTCCGTTCCGGTCGGTTGCCCCTCGGATTGTCTAAAAGGGAACAAACATTCCAGGCTGCCAGAGTGAGCGGGCTCACCCTGCCAGTCTGGCGACTGCGGCGGCGAAAATTAGGAGAAGGAGAAAAAGAAGAATAGGCTGGAAGAGAAAGAGAGTGATTGTTGTTGTTGTTTCGGTTTTGGCTGTTTCGACCGTGTGTTTTTTGTCTGCGGCCACGGCCAGCCTACAGACAGCGTGGTTCCCAGCGATCTTTAGGGCACCTTTTCTAGCCCCCTCCCCCTCGCGGGGGCAGGCAACGCCTACCTGAACAGGGCTGCCCGGTTATCCCAGACGGCTGCCGGACTCCACTATGGGCCACGACTTTTTGTTAGTGAGAGAACGACCCGAATTAGCCTGGGACCTTGGTGGTGAGGTGATGTGATGGAGTGAAGTAGGAGAGAGCATACACACTACCTAACGCTTTTGGACTTGCAGCTAGCTAGAGTGGACAAACAGACACAATCATCAGTCAGAGACAGAAGTGAGAGGGCACTATTCAAGTGTCAAGCACCGTAAAACCTAGCTGTTAGCAGAGAGAGGCATAAACTGACAGACAGACAGACAGTCGCAGCAGGCAGCAAGGGTTTCGTCTAGCTATTAGCAGACAGACTAGCATACAGAGGGCAGGCAGCAAGAGCAGCAGACGACACGCAACTTCAACAGACAAAAGGAAGAAACAGAGCAAATGCACTTACCTGAGGGGGAACTTACCGTCTGAACCACTTCCACCTCAGTTGTCTTCGTCGCATCATGATGCTAAACTGGAGGGATCGAATAATCGACACTGATGTGCTGGAACGGACGGGAATTCTCAGCATCTACGTCATACTGAGGCAAATGCAGCGGCGCTGGAGTGGCCACCTGGTGCGCATGGACGACGAGCGACTTCCCAAACGACTCTTCTACGGAGACGTCGCGACGGGTTCTCGTCGTAAATGTGGCCAGATTCGCTGTTACAATGATACCATGAAGTCCTCCCTGAAACGCCTGCAAATCATCTCCACCAAATGTGAGGAGCTCGCACTCGATCGACCGACCTGGAGGGGACAGTGAAGACAGGCGCTGCGATCTACGAAGCCAACCGCATCGCTGCCGTCAAGGCGAAACGCGAAGCCCGCAAATCACAACATCGCCCGGTACGCAACGCCACCGCACAACCGCTTCCACCCTGTCTTCGATGTCAACGGACATTTCGGGCTCGAATCCCAGTTGTTGGACATCTTCGGATTTACTGTGCCTCTCGAACTGCACCCAACTTTATCCCCCCGCCCGCGTCATCCTCGTCCTCTCTGCCGCCGAATAACTCTGACAATTCTTCTGACCCACCACTTCCATCCTCCTTCTCTTTCTCCTCCTACTCCTCCCTCTCCTCCTCCTCCTCCTCCACCCCCTCCTCATCCTCCTCCTCCTCCTCCACCACTGCCCCATTGGCACATCACCAAGCGCGGCACAACAACAGACACCACCCCCACATCTTGCGACTCCAGCGATGAGGATCAGGACAACACCTGCCATCACTGCGACCGCACGTTCACCTCACACATTGGCCTGGTCGGTCACTTGCGAATCCATCGCACAGAGACAGGCGAGCCGGTGCCCGGAGCACCAACCTACACCCACCGCACTCGCCTCCACTGCCCAAACTGCCCTCGTACCTTCACGCATCGTATGGGTCTATTCGGCCACATGCGCATTCACGAGAGCGGAATTGATCACAATTCGGACACACCACCAGATCCAACACATCCACCATGCCCAACACCACACCTTCTCCATCGCCATACGCGCCCATCACCACCACAGCCACTGCCTTCTCTACAGCTGGCACCGGCACCACCAACCTCTCATGCCCACACTGTCCACGCACGTACACCTCACGCATCGGCCTGGTCGGTCACTTGCAAATCCATCGCACATAGACTGGCGAACCAGTGCCTGAAGCACTCATCTATACCTACCAAGCTCGTCTCAACTGCCCACACTGCCCTCGCACTTTCGGGCATCGCATGGGCCTATTCGGACACATGCGCATCCACAATGACCTACGGTAGACAACCGCCGGTCACACCACACATTCATTCAATTCCTACCTTCCTCCACCATCACTACCACATATCAACACGCACCCAACTGCCACCACCCACGCAAGTGGGAAATCCGCATCTCGACTAGGTCCTCATGCGGCTTCGGCTGCACGAGTGACTTGCGTCCGAGACTATCCCGAAACGTCAAGCGTCGGGGATAGGAAGGCTGCTGATTGACGCCCGCTATCGGCTCACGCAGTTCGTTGAGTTCTGTGTGTGAGCTGTGTGGAGTGGCGGATTAGTGGGCTGGGGACGGGCTGAAGCTGCACCTCTCACGGCTCTCTCACGCAAGTGAGAGACACGCCGTTCAACACCCGTTGTGTCAAGTCCTGGTTTTGTATGTATGGGGGGACAGGTCGTGCCGTGGCGCGCGCAGTCATGGTCACTCGACAATGATAGCCACCGCGCCCACTCCCCACTCTAGTCTGCTGACCGGCTCGGACAGCGACTGGGATGTGGGAGTGGGAAGGGAGAGTGAGGTCGGCGACTCAGCGCACTTTCTCCTCACTATACTCAATCTGACGCGCTTGAAGCTATCACGGTGCGCTAAAAGCCGTGGCTTCCAAGGTTGCCAATTGACGAGGTCACTTGGACCTCCTCCTTAACGGGAGGCGGTCTGAGAGTCAGGCTGCAATGGTTCCTTTTTAATGTGGCCTTTATGGCACTCCCACCACAGTGTGGGATCCGAGCCAGGCGTTGGCGGCACGCCTAGGTACGGCTTCGGCCGTGCCAGCCTCCATATCTCCGTTGTGTTGGTTGAAATCCTGGTTATTGTTGTGTGGACCGGGGGGTGTGGTGGAACGCCAAGGTGAGGATTCGTCCGAGCCATCCACCTGCGGCCTCCCTCGTCTCCGGTCTTCTAGAATCTGTCTTGACACCGGGCTCAGGCGAGGGAGGAGGAGAGAGTGTAGGTAGATGCAGCGCAAGTCTACTGGCACTATAAACCCCTGCGTAAGTCACCGTCACTGCTCCCACTGCTGATGCAACTGTCGGGGTCACGGTGAACAACATCGAAACCGATGGTCAAAATGTCACTACGTATATAACTACTACTTAGGCAATTTCGAGTCCTACGTCTACTGCAGTTACTTCTGCTTATACTTCTACCACTACTAATTGTACTACATTTCGTACTGCTTAGATTACTGCTTTCACTAATACTACTTATACTTTGGCTAAAAATTCTACTACCGCTACTTCTGCTAGCACCGCTACTTTCGTTGCTACTTCTGCTTCAGCTACTACGACCGCAAACACAGCACATACCACTTATACTATTTCTACCACTGCCATTACTTATATCTCTATTACTAATACTACTACCACTACTATTACAACTACAACTACTACTGCTACCAATGCTACTACCATTTCTACTTCTCCTACTACTAGTACTACTACTACTACTACCAATATTATTACTACTAGTGCTAGTACTACTTCTACAAATACTACTACATGTAGCAATGCTAGTAATTCTGGTACATCTACTTCTACTATCACAGTTACTATTTCTACCTTTTTTACAGATACTGTTACCGCTGATCCTAGTAATAATAAGATGTCTGATTATGCGATATCACATTATACTACTACTGAATTCCATACATAAAATAATATTGCTATTTCTTCCACTATTGTTTTTACTAATGCTACCACTACTACTACTGTTTCTGCTAATTTTAATACTACTAAAACTTCCACTACTACTTATACTACTATTGCCTCTACTACTACTACTACTACTACTACTACTACCAAAAACGTGCTGCGGTTTCTAATACTTCTACTACTACTAATAATTATATCATTAATACTAATAAAACCTCTACTACTGCAACTAGTACTACCACTTATTCCGCTAATACGTCTTCTACCACTTCTCCTGGTACGTGTACTATTACTACCTTCAATACTGATGCTGTGATTGCTGCTGCGACTGCTGCTGTTACGTCGATAACATCAAGAACTACTACTACTCCTTCTTCTTTTAATACTGCTATAAATACTACAACTCCGTATACCTCTAAAACTAAAACTACTACTTCTTCAACTATAACTACCGATTCTGCTGATGCTGATACTAACCCTACTGTTGCTACTACTAATATAACTAATTATTCCCTCACTGCTATTAATTCTACTACTTATTCTTTTTCTAATAATAATGCTGCTAATACTTCTTCTATTACTACCAGCTCTAAAAGTACCACTACGGCTGCCGCTTCTAATGCTTCTTCTTCTCCTACTACTAGTACTATAACCACTTTCGCTTCTACCAATTCGCTTCTACCAATAATTCAACAGCCATTTTTAACATTGCTACTATTTATTATACTCTTACAATTACTTCTAGTACCACCACTACAACTGTCA